CAGCAGTGCAGAGGAGAGGGACAGACCCAGAGAAGGGTGAGGCCAGGAGGCTGCAGCTTTTCCTCAGTCCCAACCTCCAGACTCACTTCAATGATAATAACTTTTGGCGATTCCTTTGGGGAGGGGCAGGCAGCTTGGTGAAATGCCTGTGACCCAGCTAAGCATTCAGCCGGAAGACTTCGCAGCAAGGTGCCCAAGGAAACCCTCAGGACAGAGAGGCTGGCAAGTTCAAAGGGCAGCCTGCCAGTCATTCCTCTGCTGGCCTGTGCCAAGGATCTAGGCTAGATTTGGGCCTGGGAGTATCCAGGGAAAACACTGAACTGTAGTTTCCAGTTTCCACCGCCTTGGTTGCCACATTTTCCTCCTTCTGTGGCTATCCTCCTTCTACCCCAAATAAAGGCCAGGGAAAGAAGACAGCAAAAAAGTGAAAACTAAAGAAAAAAACTTTGCTTTAAAGAATTGATTGTGTGGTCCCAACTGTCAATATGGCACTGGGAAAGTCTAATCTGTGAAACAAAAAAAGTTCCCTTCCAACACGGACGTGACTTTTCTATTTCCCTGTTATTTCAACTCTCTAGGGGGTGAGGACAGCAGAGATTATTGTACCCATAGGCCATCCTTAGTTACACACTGATAACCTGCCTCTCCTTGCCGAGAACTTGGAAGTAGCATTGTCCTCCTGCCCCTCTCAGAGATAAACTGTGAAATCCACATGTAATGAGAGGTGCCCAGGAAGGAAGTGACACTGATGGAAGGTATAAACACACCTAAAGAAGGAAGGTGCTGACCTAAAGAAAGGTCTCAGAGGCAAAGAAGGGAGACTGTGCAAGAATCCTGGCTTCACTCCTTTGGGCTCTGTCTGGAAGAGGGACCAGAGTCATGAGAATAGCTGGCCCTCTGTCAGGTGTCCTGTTGTGCAGACCTGTGCAGCCAAATATAACAAGGCCTGGTGCCCGCTGGACTTTTGAGTTTAAAAACTAACTTCTCTGTTAGGATTCATGACTTTCCAGGTACTTTCTGATTATCTGCCTTTCCATGTGGCTTGCTTCCAGGCAGAGAATGTGCTGGTTAAGGCTGACATGTCTGTTCAGTCCACTGACCAGCTGGCATATGGTCTGACACACAGGCCTCTGGGGGTGTGTGGGTCTGGCAGCCTCCCTGAGTGGGATGATGTCTGAGTGGGACTAGGTTTCTGAGACTCTGAGGATAAGGCTGGGCTCAGGGTCACATTTGGCTTAGCTTAGCTGGGTCATAGCCTTCACCCAGTGGAGACCTAACTGTGAAGTGGGCTGGTGCTTCTCACTGCTCAGCGTTGTCCAGCTTCAGCTGCACATGTCACAGATGGACACAACCCAGCGTCGCTCCAGGGATATCCACTTCATCCACCAGTTCCTTCGTGTCACCACCACTAATTCAACCCACATTTTATCACCATCATCATAAAAGCTGTTTATCTAAGCTTCTGTGTGCCCAACAACCCCACAGAGAGGCCATTGTTGCTCCATTTTGGGGACCAAAAGAGGCTAATTATGGCCGCGAGTTGAGAGAACTGGGATCCAAATCTATTACTATGTCTGTCTACCTCTAATTACAACTATTTTTAAAAATTAAGCTGGATGTGGGTACGAGGGAGGCTTCTCAGAAGAGTACAGCATCCTCAGCGTGTTTTCTGAGTTTCCTCATTCTGAAGGTGGACAACAGGACCCCTACTTCCTGAAGTTAAAAAAAAAAAAAAAAAAAGAATCAGCCCTGATTGGTGAAGGCAGCCTGGCAGTTGTGTCTGGTTGGAGAAGTAGGAGAAATTCTAGGTAAGCCCTAGGCCACCCCAGAGGACTGGCAGCCGGCTTTGACCCTGATACAGAAAAAAGATAACCTAGATGTGAAGCTAAGAGAGAGATACAAAATGTAGAAACATTAGTGGGCATATGATGGACTCTTCTGGCTCCACAGGATGGGAGTTTTGAGGGCAACAGATCAGTGGCCTTGTTCTTGGCTTGAAAATGGGTCCCAAAAGTACTTCTGGCCATGGTGACATCTCCCCCCTGCCACCTTCTTGAACCTGTATTGAAGGCTGGTTTGCTGTGTGGCCTGCCAGTCAGGAGACTGTAGTTAATATTCCGTCTTTGACACCTGGGGCAGGTCAATTAACCCCTTAAAGCTTTAGTTTCTCTTTCCAGGGATTTCCAGTTCCTAAAAACCGCATACTTTATTTCTAAGTAATTTGTGAAGTAGTCAACAACTTAGGTAATGTGATTGAAAGTTACATGCATGACAGTCTGTGGCAGAGCAAAAGACAGCTCTTGTGGGTGTCTCAAGAAGGCCGCCGCAATTTGGGGCTCCCCAATGCAATGTTCTCTGTATAATTGTTCAACATTTCTTTCATTTAACATTTGAATATAATAAAAAATATCTAAATTCAAAGCAAGTACTGTATACCATATGAATATGACTGAATAGGACATAACATTTAAACTTATTTGGACGTGTTTTTCATTTAACTTAAATAATCCGTGACTAGATAGTCATTCATACTTAACTAGACATAAACATGGCCATAAAGTCTTTTAAACTATGTTTTAACATTCTTTTTTGGTTGGCCAAGCTGTCTGTCTTCACTTTCTGTAATTTCTTTTTTCTTCTTGAGTTATTGAGATTTTTGTTTTTTTGAAAAGAGGGTCTCACCAAATTGTCCAGACTAGACTCAAGCTCCTGAGCTCAACTGATCCTCCTGCCTCAGCCTCCTGGGTAGCTGGGACTATAGGTTTGTACCACCAGACCTGGCTCTAGAGTTTTTGTCTTTTTGTTTTTAATCTTTCAAGCCAGACATTTTCTAATCATGCTGTATTAGAAGATTTCATATTTAGATAATGTAATAAAATACAGTACAGCAAACAGCATTATACCATGCATTACTCAGTTTCTGAAGTTTGGCTAAAGGAGACAGCTAAGTTCAGGAGACTGTCAGCTGACTGACCTCTGAGTTGGTAGTGCTGTCTGTAATTATGTTACAAAAATACCATCAGAGATAGGCTGGCGCCTGGGAGACATGACTATAAATGTCCATGGGAAGATACTATTTCAGTAAACAATTAACATTTTGCAGTCATGTATAGTGTCTCATAAGCAAAACGGAGGTAACAGGCACCCATTTTTCTGATTGTTTTATGTTCCTTACAGAGGGGCACCATGGCCAGCCATTTCATCTCGGTCCAGGCATGGAAGGCAGGCACTGGGCTGAGAAACCTGAGTGTGAATATATGACGTTGGGCAAGACATTTAACTTCTCTCTGAGCCTCAGTTTTTCTCTTGTAAAATGGCAATAATATCTACCTTATAGAGTTATTAGAGATAATATTGACGTTGCAAATGAGTCTATTATTTAAAAGTATATGTATAGTATACTGTATAGTGAAACACTATACAAATAATAATTAACAAGCAATTATGCTCTTTCCATCAACCTTTAATAGCCTTATTAACATTGCTTTGAAGAGTTAGAGCATAGCTTTGAAGTACAGGAGCACAGGCTGTAATAAAAGGCAGCTTTTTGAGATTGGCAAATGTTTTGCACCCAGTATCCGTTCCATATTTTTCTGACCTATCTCATGGGGGGCATGTCCTGGGTGGGCAGTGGTTCCCGGCATAGGCTTTGTTGTAGTCAGAGACCTCAGTGGGGCTGTGTTCTGCCTTTCTGTATCTGCCATCTCAGAAAAACTGCTTTGTCACAAATACGTGCGTCTCATAAGGCTGGGCTGTCAACATCTGCGCTCCCAACTCCAGTCATACAGAGCGATTTGCAGTTCCCAAAAGCATCAGGCTCACTTCCTCGCTCAGCTCTTTGTTCCCTCTGCAGGATGGCTCTTTCACCTATCTTCTGCTAGGCTAACTCCTATTCTTCTCAGCTTCCTCCAAGATGTCCCTGACTCCCAAGACTTGATTGGGTGACCTTCTCATCAGCCTGCTCCCTTATCCACCCTGAATTTATCCCATGGTCAGCGTTCTGACATGACCTAGTCACTGGCCTCTGTCCCTCCCCCACTGTGGTATTGATGAAGAGTTTTGGGTTTAGCACGTACTGGGCATGGAGCTTGGCGCTTTATGTTTATCAACTCACTAAGGTCTCATAACTCCTATGAAATAAGTATTAGTACAGATGAGGAAACTGAAGCTCAGAGAGGGTGAATGATTTGCCCAGGGTTATACAAATACAGGCAGAAGAGCTAGGATTTGAACCCAGGCCCAACTGACTCCAAAGCCTTTGCAGTCAGTCTGCTGTAAATTTCTAAGGGCTTACAAGGTGCACAGTGAAGGCACACAGTGGGTACTCAACAATTAATAGCTGTCATTATTTTGACCCAGATTGTAAGCCTCTGCAGAGGGAATCTGAACCCATAAATGCTTGCACCCGTAATACAATCCCCCAACAGAGGCTGAGACCAGAGTACAACCTCCTTGAGAGCAAGGACCCTGCGTCAAACTTCTCGAGTGTGTCCCTGTGCGCACCACTGTTTCTCAATAAATGACTGATACTGTGTTTTCTTTTCTTCTTTTTTGTTTTTGAGATGGAGTTTCGCTCTTGTTACCCAGGCTGGAGTGCGATGGCACCATCTTGGCTCACTGCAACCCCCGCCTCCTGGCTTCAAGCTATTCTCCTCCCTCAGCCTCCAAGTAGCAGGGATTACAGGTGCCCACCACCACACCCAGCTGATTTTTGTATTATTAGTAGAGAGGGGTTTCACCATGTTGGTCAGGCTGGTATTGAACTCCTGACCTCAGGTGATCTGGGCCTCCCAAAGTGCTGGGATTACAGGTGTGAGCCACTGCGCCTGGCAATGCTGTGTTTTCTATCACACAATCCCTGCATTTTAGAGATGTTTCATTTCTTGTCATACTTTGGCCCCTTTCTACTCCTGAGTGAGGAAAGGGTAAAGCCTACAGAGGGGCCCAAGACAACAGCTGAAGCTGCTTTTTGATGAGATGGACAGGAAACACCAACCATCTAAATAAACGTCCTCTTTATTTTACCAAATATAATTTATCAGTTAAGTTGACATTTGTCAATTCAGTTATAGTAACTATAAATAATTCTCTTAAGACACAGTTCTGTAACTTTTTAAGGATACGAGAGTAAACCAATATTGCTCCTTGCAGCCAGGCCAAAAGTACATGCAGTTGGTACAGTCGGGGAAAAGAAATGAATCTTCCATGAAAGTCAACTTCATTTTCTTTCCCTCTCACTCTACAGTCCTCCTCTGCTCACAAACTCAGGGCCTGGGGCATGCCTACTTGTCTGCCTTTTAGGCAAAGGAGGTCACTCCAGAGTCTTCTGGGACTGCCTGGCCAAATTCCAGAGATGAGGAAGGGGGGAGTGACTGGGGAAGGGGTGGCTGGAGACCATAGAGACATAGTCTTAGGGGCAGAGAGTTGGTTTTGGTGCCTGTACAAGAAGAATCTGTGTGCAAGTGTGTTTTGAGGTGGAAGAAAAGATGAAGAAAGTCCAGAGGGAGGAGAAAAAACAAGCCCAGGCTGGTGTTAATGAACTGTGTTGGACACAACTCCAGCTAGGTAACCTCTACAATTTCTTCCAATTCTAAGGTTCTATGATTCCAGAAGGAGGACTGGAGGCCTGGGTAGAAAGGGAGGGAGAGAAAAGATGGTCTCTGGAGGTCTAGGGCAAGTTCCTGGGATAAGGCATGGTGTTGGTAGAAACAGGGTTATTGCCTAAGTCTTCCCTTGGAGGTGGGCCCTGGAGGCTATAGATGGAAGGGTTTCTGCGGAGGCTTCTGAGAAGCTAGGAAAAAAAAAAAAAAGCCTACATCCAAATGTCCACATCTGTACACGTGTGACTGCGGATGGAGGCTCCAGTTTTCTCCCAATTCTGTGCTAGGCAGAGAAAAGTAGAAACAATCAGTTGATGTCCAGCTTGCTAGTTCTAAATCCTCTTTTGGGTGCTTGGTGAGGAGAGGTGGAGGAAAGGGAATGTGAGGAAGGGTCGTTTAGGGAAATAAAACACTGGTTGAGCAATAGGGCTGGTGGCTCTAGCTGTGGTCAGCATTGCACAGAGTTGGGGTCTAGGAAGGAGAAAGAGGCAGAAGAATCTGGCTTGAAGTAGATGCAAATTCTTACAACGAGGAAACTTTCTCCACCAGATTGAAACGGGCACATGGCCTTTGTAACATTGAGAATGAGGTGAGGTTAGAGCTGTGTTTCCCTTACCACTGGCTAGTCAGTGCCTGGCACAGTACCTAACACATAGTAGGCACCCAATAAATATTGCTCAAAGAATGTTTCAGACCATGCCTGCAGAGGAGCTCATCTTGCAGAGGCTGCATATTTGTTGAATGAGCAAATGAATGAATAGTGAATGTTTGTGGGCAGAAGCCAAGAAAGAGGAAAATTGATCTCTATGGTATGACAGAATGAGTAATTTTAGGAAGTGACAGGGCTCAAGGTGACCAAGTGATTATGTCCTCAGGAGAAACTGCAGCAATGAGACGCCCCTGGTTGTCCTCAACCTCCCAACCATTCTCCACATCGCCATGACCTCTCCCTAATCTCAAAACCCAACCTGGCAAGCTCTGGGGAAGGTAGTGCTTAGAGACAATTTGAGATGAAGGTTGAAGAGAGACCAAGAATCAGTCCTCTGTGCCCAGGGAGAATTTGGATTTTGGGGAACCCACAGGTGGACACGGGTCAACAGGGAGAACAGTCCACTTTTCATTTTTTCCTGGATATGACGATCAACTGGAAATGATCAGAGGAACGGGTTGTTGATGTTGATCACACAATCGAGCAAGAGACGTGTGCACAAATTGAAGCGTCAGTCCACCTTACTCTTTCTGTGAGTGGGAGGGCTTAGGTCCAGAGGGCAGAGAATAGAGCTGGGATCACAGGGCCCTGGAGCAGCTGTCTCCTGTCCAGAGCGTTGAAGTTGGTCCTTTTCTACAAAAGTATGTGTGTGTTTGGGAGTGTTACTTATTCCTCTGTCCCTCTGTTCAACCAAAACCAAAAACAAAACAGATGAACAAAAAGAAAACAAAACCCAAAACCCAGAGCCCACCTACGAAGGGTTTCTCATTAGGGCCAAGATAAGTTGCTAAAGCCAAACCCAGTGTCCCCAGATTCCAGACAAAATTCCCCTGCCCCAATCCACCTCACCTGGAGGCACCCACCATGAAATTGCACTTGGTGATTGTCTCAAAAATCTACTTGTACTGCTTATCTCAGTCCGTCTGTCTTTCCTGAATTCCTGCTATACAAACTTGGCTCAATGTATAAAAATTCCCATTGAAAATAATGAGAATTTGGTATCAAAGTGAAGTCCCAGAAAGAGGTGGGAGTGTGGGGTGGAGTAGGGACAGGGGAACAGAAGAAAAATTTCAAATAGAAAGTGCAGAGGGATGGGGAAAAGGTTGAGTGACCAAGCTAGTCCCCGACATCCGTGTCTCGGTCCCCTATGAGCCAGAGGACATGGAAGCTGAGTGCTAGGAGCCCAGTGCCAAGCAGGTCCCCCAGAGCAGTCAAGTATGGGATGGAGAAGTTGTCCGGGTCCAGGCCCCGGCCCCACATCCAGTGCACCATCCAGTCTGCGATGTACAGGAGAATCAGCACCTGGGGAGACAATAGGGCCCAGCCTATAGCCATCCCCTCTCTCCAGGGGGAGCCAGAGGCCACACGATTCGACCCATTCAGTGCATCACAAGGCTTGGCTGGCCACAGTCCTTACTTTTTATCTTCATCTTTCCACCCCAGCAGCCTCTCTGTGTTCCTCCACCCCACAATTACCACCTTGAGCAGACAACAGGCACCGTAAGAGCTCTTCAGAAAGGAAGATGCTGCTATGACCCAGGGTCACCCACATCCGCATTATATTCTGCTCCCAAATTTACCAAATGAGGAGCTTCCTGAGCTAAATCCTACTCGCTGCAGGAACTCAGTCCTCTTGCCTCTAACTCTGGGTCACCTCATTCTGGGATCACTCTTATTCCTGCCATGTTGGCCTTTCCAGGAGCCTGGCAGGGGGCTGGCTCTTGGAGTCAGCTTTACCTAAAGGGATTTCTTCTCTAGACAGAGTGGTATAAGGACAGTGTTTGAAGCTGCTGCTGGCATTGTCTGAGTAACAGATGATTATCCCAAGCTGGCTTCCTCCTGCCCCTTTTCACTCTGTTGTTGTGGCTTTCCATTCCATTTCCTTTCCATTCTTTGGGCTCCAAGAATGGAAGTTTATTTTAACATTAGTCCTAATAAAGCTGAACTGTGAATAAGTCACCTCAATATTAATATAAAGCAGACAATACATACCAGTTTAAAACAATTCGAGATGATCTGCGACTTTGACTTTATCCGTGCTCTTGCTTACCTTCTTTTAATACAGATAATTAAGAATGACCCAGATCAGAATTTTGCTAGTGGGCCCAGGACCAGCAGCATCAACAACAGCTGGGCACTTGTCAGAAATGCAGAATCTCTGGACCTCCTGAGTTAGTCTGAATTTAACAAGATTCACATGTACTTTTAAGTTGGTGATGCCCTTGATCTAGAATACCACGGTGGGGCAGGCCCGAATCTCCTAGAATCTGCACAGTATGAAAATTCTGCCCTAAGGGATCCAGATGCGGGAACCACAGCCCCTAATGGATCCAGAAGCTAGAACTGATACCTATTTTTAGGCAATCTTGGCTGCTTTCCTGTCCTCTCTCTCTTTTTTTTAAGTTTAGGCTCTGCCTGAGAAAATCCTGCCCTCTCTCCAGGGAAGCCAGAGGTGACTTTTCACACTCTCCCTTCCCCTGCACAGTGGTGCCTTGGCTCCCCCACCCTCCATAACTTCACACCCTTTGTAGCAGCTGCAGAAGGGTCCCAAATAAAAAGCATGGGCAGGAGGCCGTTGGGACATGCCGTAGGAAGGGAATGGTAACAGCTGTCCTCATATTCCAGCCTCCTGAGTAGGCCCCAGAACACATGGCTGGGAGGAGGTAGCAAAGGGATCAATAATAGCCTTTATAGGGGATCGAGTGTCACGCTCTGGCCCTTCACAGATCTAGAGAGGAGAGCAGAGCCAGGAGTGTCTCCCAGGGTATTCATCACGGGTGATGGCACCAAGGCTCATCCTTTCCAATCTAGGCAAAGGGATGAGCTGAAAATCTCCACCAAAGACCCTCCTACAAAGACCCTTGGCGTATCCACCCCCACCTTCCCACCACATGCTGCACTGGAATCCACTAGCAGTGAAACACGGCGGCTTGGCTAACTGCTGCAGGGCAACAGCATATGGCTGATTCTCAGCCTGCCCCTGCCAAGATGTCGGAACACAACCTTTCTAAAGCTGGGGGTGAAGAGGCTCGAGGGATAGGTGTTAATCAATACAGGACTGGTGAAATAAAATTACAGTCTGTGTATCATAGAATAAAATGCAGCTGTAAGAAAATCAGGGTGTTGTTCTCTTTATGTATTGATACGAATATCGTTAAGATAAACTGAAGTGAAAAATGCAGGGCATGGACAGTGTACAGTTTACCACATGCGTGTAATAAAGAGCAGAGAAATAAAAAATATATGTTTACTTTGATAAATATAGAATATGTGTGAAGGATACACAAGAAAGGGATAATACTGAGGTCTGTGAAGGAGGAAGATGGAAGGCTGAGAAGAGGAGGGCAGAAAAGAAGACTTTTCTCTGAGGTTTCACTATGAACTTAAAAAAACATTTTTGAACTATGTGACTGTTCAAAAATCAAACCTATAAAAATTTACAATATAATAATAAGGGTGGGTCTACCTGTAAAGGGGTAGCATGAGGGAGCCTTGTGGCGATGGAACAGTTTTCTGTATTTTAGTTATAGCGGTGATGACACAAATCTACACTTGTGATGAAAACTGCATAGAATACACACACACACACAAGTGCAGGTAAAACTGGGACAATCTGAATCAGCACTGTGGATTGTATCAATGCTGATTTCCTGATTTTGATACTGTCCTGTAGTTATGCAAGATGTTACTTTCCCATGGAGGGAAATTGGGTAATGGTATATGTGATTTCTGAACCTTTTTTTGAGAACTTCTTACAAATCTGAAGCTTTTCAAAATAAACAGCTTTAAAAGTGTAATAATACAAGAAGGGAGAAAGTGTCATGGTATTATGGAATGGCAATGCTAGGCAGGATCCAACAGACAGATTATCTAGAGCGGTGGTTTTGACCGTTTTTCAAGCTATCGGACCCTTTATGCAAATGAATTTCTTGAGAAAGCCCAGCATGCAAAACAGAGCCACTCGGAGCTCTGTGGCCAGCATGGGTGGCATGCAAAGCCCATGTGGTCAGCATCCTACAACCACCTGCATGAAAACTACTACCACTGGTCCATTCCTCTCAATTTACAAATGCATCACCGAGGATCAGAGAAGTAAAAGAACAGGGTCAAAGTCACACAGCATGTTAGTGACTCTACTGGAACCACCATCTGCTCTCCTGCACCCTTGTCCAGTGTTTATCAGCTGCCTTGATGCAGAGAAGAAGGTAAGCTGAGTGTCGAAGAGGCCAAGTCTGGCCTCTTCTCCCATCCCTACAGGGCATCTTGGCCCCTTCCCATGCCCATGCCCCTGCTCCTGCCACTTAGTACCTGGAGCAGTGCAGCTGTCATATAGAAGATGATGAAGATGAGTGTGAGGGTGGTGTGCCCACCCTGCATACAGCTGATGGTGTAGAGGAACACCAGGTGTCCTGGGACCACGAGGAGGAAGAGGACCCGGGCTGAGCGAGAATTCACATCTGGAATTGGGGAAAAGAGGGTGTGAAGAGGAGGTGAGGAGAAGACCTGGCCCCAGAAGGCCTTTCAAAGTCAGGAGGGACTGCACCATGTCCCAGGGCAACAGACAGATGAATGTCTCTACTTCTCCATCCTATGGTCTCCAACCCCTAGGGTGCCCCAGGAAAAGACAGCCCTCCTGTCTGGACTCTGCCCTTCAGAACAGCTGGCAGAGCCCAGCAGAGGAGGAGAACCTGTGGTTCTGGGCCCCAGCTGTCTCTTAAGTGAAGCTCACTGACAGTAGGCCCACTCCCCATAAGGCTAGGAGGGAGGCTGGGAATATGGCATTACCAGGACTGAAGAAGGTGGTACAAGGACTGGGGCAGCGGCGAGGAGCTTGCTCAGAGTTCTCTCCTGGCATTCCATTCATGTGCAGGAAGGTGGAAATGCGGCTGGCCTGCACTGCCACCAGATTGCCCCCAACACCTGCAGAGACACAGGTGGGCTTAGATACAAATGAGGATCGGGGGAGGAGTGGGAAACAAATGATCTTCTCACTTTTTGTCTTGTATCTACAGAGGCACTGTCCTCTGTCTTTATAGGCCCCTACACAGGGGGATCTATGTGGGCATCACCCATTCACCCAGTCCCCAAGAGAAGAGTAAGGCACTAAGAAGGAAGACAAAGACCCCTGCTTTGAGGGCATCTTCCAGCCTCCCTCATCCTTCCCTCTATGGAGATGCGGCAGTTCCATGTTCTCCTGGCATAGCTATGACAGTAATGGAAAGGATATATGCACATCTGCAGACTCAGTGAGCCTGACTTCTCCACCAGGACAGTGTGTGCACCTGCCTTCCTATGCTGAGGTGACAAAGCCCTGCCTTACCCCACCCCTTCTCCAATGCTCCGAGCAGACCCAGGCACCCTATGCTCATGTGCTGGTTCTGGTAACCAGTTTCAAGGATCAAGTCTGAGCTCCAAATTCCCGAAATCTGGTATCTCTGCCAGAACCTGTGCTGATTTCTCTGTTGCCCTCACATCCCAGCCTGGTCCCTACTCTTCTCAGCCTTGCTCTGACCACTGGGGGACCGGTCTCCACAGACTGTATCACCAAGTCTTCCTTGCTGGCTGCTTCCACTGTATTTGTTCAGTGGGAGGCAAGAGCAGGTGATCAGAGGGCAGGTGGAGAGAGACTGGGTATTTCTTTTGCAGTCCCTCCCTGCTTTTTGGCAGTTGCTTCCCCCTGTTGGAAGCAAGGACAGAGCTTTCACTGGGCTCCCATAATGCTATTCCCTCCCAACTATGGTTTGAATATAGTTTCTCTCCATCAAAACTCATGTCGAGGCTTGGTCCCCAATGTAGTGGTATTGGGAGGTGGTGCCTTTAAGAGTAAATAGGTCATTAAAATGGATTAATGTCTTTCTTGGGAAAGGTATAGTTCCCATGAGAGTGGGTTGTCATAAATCGAGGTTTGCCTCTCCTGTTTTGCCCATTTTGCACATGCCTAGTTTTCCTCCTGTTTCTCCATTTGGATGTTTGGATGAAGCATGAGGCCCTCACTAGAAGCAGCTGCCCAATCTTAACCTTTCCAGCCTCCAGAACTGTGAGTTAAATAAACCTCTTTTCTTTATAAATTTGCCAGTTTTGAGTATTACGTTCTAGCAACAGATAATGGATTAAGATACTCGCCTTGACCCTTTAGGACTAGAGGCTTCCCATTGTTGCTAATCTCTGGGTGCCTCAACACCCCTTATCCATCCTTCTACTCTGCTCCCACCTCTGTAAGCAGTTCCTTCATTAAACTCTTGAATCATCTGAGCTAGATTCTCTTGTCTGCTGGAACCCTGACTGATACAGAGGCCAACCCCTTAAGTCCTCTTCTCCTGTCCCTTTCCTCCCCCCAGCCCTGCCCTCCAACAGCTGATGCCCAGACCTCACCATTAATCACAGGTGTGAAGACAGCCATCCCTGCAAAGTTGGGGTCTGAGACAGTCTTGTCCAAGATGAGGCCTCCCACACTACAGAGACATAAAGACAAAATGACACAAAGACCACTAACGGTTCTGCTGTAGTCTCTGGGAAGAGAGGTCGGGCTCACCTAGCCTTGGAGATGAAGGGAAGCACCATGGCTCTCAGGAGTTCCTCATCATCCAGTCCTTGCCACCCTTGACAGCATTGTGCTGCTCATAACATTCCCACTGGGCACAGTGACTCCAGAACAAACTGGTGGTACCGGGTCAGGCAACCACCTCCTGTACCTGCCCTCTAAGTTGGCTGGAGGAGCAGCCTGCAGGACTACCCGTCTGTGACGACCTCTGTTGTTCCGCCCACTGTTGTTCCGCCCACTCAGCATTTGCTTCCCTTTCTGGTACTAGCACTGGGCTTCTCCTCTCAAGCTCAGTGACTGTGGCTCAGGTGACATTGCCTCAATGATGGCTAGGCTCCAGGTCCATCCAATCAGAGTATCGCAGCTCCAAGGCCACACTGACTGGTTTGGAGATAGTCGTGTCACCAGATGAGAAGCGGGGCAACTCTATTCTGGAACTTTGTGGAACTGTTGGGGGAAAGAATGTCTCCCCTGGAATTGGTAGGAGTAAGAAAAGCATAAATCTGGACTGCAGGCCATGACAGAGAAGAGCAGAGCTGAGAGCCCTGATCTTAGGTATGTCCCTGAATTCAGCTGTGCCTCTTTGGTTCTCCAGGCCAGTACATTCTGCCTTGGAATGCAATCCAGTTTAGATGGTTTTGTCATTTTCAACAGAAGGACATGTGACTGATACACTTCTAGGGTCTGATCTCCACCTCATCTCTCCAGGGTGTAAAAGGAAGTCTGTGGCAGGGTGGCAGTGGGGTGCAGTAGATACTCAGGGTCCCAGCCTACCTGCTGATGGCCATGGCAATAATAACAGGCTCCCAGCCGGAGTACAACACCTCCCTCGTGGCTGGGCTTCGTCGGGCCAGCACCACCCAGACAGGCAGCAGGGCCACAAAGAAAGCACACACCAGTGGGTAGATGTATCGCCAGTGATCTGAGAGGGCAGAGATCAGAGGGAGATAAGCACTGTGGTTTCCTACTCCCAGTTTCTCCCTGGCTCAGCCTGAAAATGTCCCAACAGGTCAGTAGCAAGACTACACTAAATGCCAGTAAACACATTACCCCATTTGATCTTCACTGGCAGCTCAGGAGCTAAGTGGGACCAGTCTTTTCCATTTTATGGATGAGGAAACGAAGGCAGAAAGCCACTGAACTGAGATAGAGACCAGACTAGGTATCTTGATTGGATCCCAGAAATCAACATCTCCCACCCCCTTCTTCATTTTGTAAGCAGATCCCAGCCTCTGGTTCCTTTCTTTTAAGCTTTCCCCCTCATCCGTCCAAGAGAAGCAAGAATCTGCAGGACCAAACAGAAATATCCTTCTGATACTTTTCCCTGCCCCTGATACCTGCTTGGATTTGAGATCAGTATTAGCTTCATATCTCTAAGATCAGGAATTACTACAACCTATGTTCAAACCAAATAGTTCAAGAACACAGAAGAAACTCTAGCACATTTGCAAACTGCTATCATCTCTCCCAATCCCACCCAGGAGTCCACCCCTGCCACACTCTTGGTGGCTCACTCAGTTCCAGGTAGAGTCCCCAGCTGATGCCTGAGAGCAACGCCAAGGTGATGAGGTCGCCCAGGCTGGCAGCAATGGGTGTGGCCACGTTGTCTGGGTTGATCCCAATCTTGCGAGAGCCAATGATGACTCCAATCATGATCATACCTGGTGAGGAAGTGGGGGGAGGGGCGGGGAGGGGCGGGGAGGGGGAGAAGAGATAAAGGAATCTCAACAAACAAAAAGAGAGAGTGGAAGTGCCAGGTGCAGTCAACACCTCTGGGGCAGCACCCCTTACTCCTCTACGTCCTCCCTTCCTTACCCAGTACCAGGGAGGCAATGAAGGCTGTGGCCACGCTGCTAGCACAGAGCAGGAAGGCATGCGGAATACTGAAGTGGCCATCAGGGATCCAGCCAAAGACGACGGCTGCGATGGACGCCAGGAAGCCCACCACTGTGGCCTGCACCTGGGGAGAGGAGTGGTAACTTGGAAAGCCCTGAGAGCAGTGGGGTTCCTCAACTGAGGTCACTGAGCATCTGGGCAGACCTCTTCCTGGCTGTGGCCCCATGAGGCAGGCTGGACTGCGCTGTCCAGTCCTTCCAGGCTGGAAGGATGTCTTTATTTATTTAGGGTCATACCAGACACTAGTACCGCGCTGTACATTCTGCAGGAGCCCAGAACATGTTACTGGCTGAATGAGTGTGCCTCTGGGGATGGGAGTGAGGTTCAACAGAGCTGGAGCCTTCTGCTCAGAGTCAAGGCCTGAAGGTTCCCGGTCTGAACCTGTGTGATCTCATGGGGAGATGGGACAGCAGTGGCACAGAACATCTCGGCACTCCTGAGTTTGCTCATATTGCCACAATCTGCTGGGACTCAAAGGTGCCTACACCACTAGGAACTGAGAACTGGAATGGGTGATGCAGGGACCCTCCTCATCTTGGGCATTTTCCTGGATAACCTAGTTACCTCCTTGAGTTACTCTGGGGGAAGCCAGCTCAGTGGGACACTGGAGATTTGCTCAGGAGCCAGCTGGGGCTGACCTAAGCCTTTCAGAGATTCCTAAGGGGGAAGCTTAGCCCACCCTCTCTGGTCCCTGCCTCCTTACCTGGATGAGGGCCATGTTCCCAGTGATCATCCGCCAGAGCTCCTTGGGTGTGTCCATGTGTCCAATGTTGGCCTGGGAGAGGGAGGGCAAGGGGCTAGAGCTCCAGGCTGGAAAAGGCCTGCAGCTCCATCCACTGGGCTCCTGCCTAGATCATGAGACAGTACATGTGGCCTAAGACTGACGGCAGGACCCGCAAGTCCTGGAAAGGTGAAGCAGGATCAGGGAAAGTGAGGTGAGAGGGAAGGAGCTAAAGCTGAGCTCCTGTAGCTGGGTGGGGGTTGGGAAAGGGGGGTCCCCTAGAAGCAGTTTCTTCTCTTCCTCTCGGGACACCAGCTGAGCAGAGGCAAATTCCATCCTTTGCCTTACTTATCTGGGCAATCCATTGCTGCATGAATCAGAACAACCCAGTCCCTGACTCTGAAGCCAGCCTGCTATCCCAGGGAAGGAAAGGTCAGCTGCAGGACTGAGACTCAAAGAGTATTTGGGAAGGAGTGGGTGGCATGGGCCAGAAGTTCGGTAGGGCAAGTCAGCGTGGGTTAAGTTGGATGCCACTTCTCTCTGTCACCTTCTCTAGACTCTTGGCTATGCAGGGACATCCTTGGGCTCCTGAGTTTTATCATCTCCCACCTCCAACCCAGGACTGTCTATCTGTCCAGGCCCTGAATCATCATGGCTGATGATTGTGGGAGGTAGGAGTGACGAGCAGCTCCTCTCTGTTCCCTTAAAGAAGAACAAGCTGCCACGGGGAAAAGGATGGATGGCTGGGGGGCTAGGGGTGCTGGGAGGGCCTGGCTCTGCTCCTGCCCAGCTGCAAGGCAGGGCTGGAGATCAGAGGAGGCCCCCATCTGTGCGGGTGGAGGAACCAGCATGATGCCTGCCTGTCAAAGCTGCACAAACAGTCACGAGGTGGTTGAGAGGTAGGGGGTGGGGCAGGAGTCCAGGGACGGCTGGGACATCCAGAAACCAAGCCTGGGAACCACTTTGGGCAGGGAGCCCCTGCCCAGGAGCAGATCTGGGATCTCCCTACATCTGCCCAGCCAGGCCCTCCCTTCCCACCCCAGCCCCACACTCCAGGACTGGGCAGTGGAGACGGGCCCGTGGCCCTCTCCCAGTCTCTGGCTCTGTGCTGCCCAGAGTCCTCTCTGTACCCTGCTCCTCCCAGCCAGGACACTCACTGCAGTGGAGAGCCTTGATGCCAGGGTCATTTCCAGGTTCCCTTTGAGCCCCAGCAGCGCAGGCACTAGGATGAAGACCTCTGTCACCTTCTGGAAAACTTCCCAGTGCTATAAGGTGAAAACAGAACCCAGGAATTTCAGTGCCCCAAAGGGCGGGCATTGAGGTTGAACAGATAGTCTGAGATCAGGGGCTCGAGGAGGAAATCGAATCAGCAGGGAGTGAGCACGCCAGCCACCTTTCGTCCAAGAACCCTGGAACCAAACCAAGCCATGATTCTTCAAACAACACAGCCCCCCTTCCTGCCACCCAGAACCGGGGAGATGGAGAGGGTCTCTGCCAGTTGGGAGACTCTCAGCCTGGCTCTACCTCCTCTGTCTGCTTTCCTGGAGCTGGGTGGGGAAGCATAATGGGGACCCACACAGCTGAGCTGACCTGGGCTGCCTGACACCCCAGAACGCCGTTCCAATCCCCCCTCAAATTGCAATCCCTGGCCCCTTTGCCTTCGGTCCAGTTTCTCTGTTGTCTCAGCTGTGGAGAGTCGGGCTCCACGGGGCTGGGGCCGAGGCTGGGGAGATTAGAGAGTTTGTTTGGTTTCTATCTCCAAGGGCTTTGGGCCTCAGCCACACCAACTCTCCTTCTGAACAGGCTCTGAATTAAGACTGTGGCCTCCAAACCTCTGAATGCTGGCCTGCAAGAGGCTTTTTATTCCTCCGTGCAGTCCGTACCCCACACACCTTCCTCAGTTTCTCAGCTAGGAGAAGCAAGTGTATTCCTATATGAAGAGCCTGGACTGGTAGTCAGGAAACCTGAGATCTATCCCAAGATGATCAATCCTGGGTCTCCTACCAATGTCTTTGGTTAACATCTATTAAGGACTGACTGTGTGCTAGGCTAAGTGCTCTCCATGTATTTTCCTCTTTAATCATCTTAACAACCCAATAAGGTAGAGGCTACTTTTTTTTTTTTTTGAGATAGAGTCTTACTCTGTTACCCAGGCTGGAGTGCAGTGGCACCATCTCAGCTCACTGCAACCTCCACTTCCTGGTTTCAAGCAATTCTCCTGCCTCAGGTTCCCAAGTAGCTAGGAGTACAGGCATGTGCCACCACACCCAGCTAATTTTTGTATTTTTAGTACAGACAGGATTTTACCATGTTGGTCAGGCTGGTCTCGAACTCCCGACCTTGTGATCTACCCACTTGGGCCTCCCAAAGTGCTGGGATTATAGGCATGAGCCACTGTGCCCAGCCGGCAGGGGTTATTTTTATCCTCATTTTGTGAATGAGGAAACTGAGGTTCAGAAAGTATTCTATTAGTCACTGTGAAGAGGTCTGTAGGAGCCAGGACTGGCTATTTGAAAGCTACTTTACTTGCAATTGAAACTGAGGACTTGGAAAAAGGTGAGGATTGTGTCTCTCTCCCTGGCCCTGACAAGGTACGTGGTTCCCTTTAAGAATGGAAAGCCTCCAGGTTTGGGGAGGGAAGAGGAGGCAGGCGGCCAGGTGGATGTATATGGGTTGGTTTGGTATCATAGCTGGCAGGCCAAGCACTATATTGGGCAAGGATACTGGACTGAGAGCTGGGGTCTCCTGCAGGAGACAGCAGGGATGGTCCTCCTGCTTATCTCCCCAATATGCCCCCTTACATAGACCAGCTGGACACCTTAGACGAGTTACAACGACCTCAAGCTTTTGAAGAATGTTCAACTCAGGGACCAGATCAGATGGTCTCTCAAGGCAATTCCAACACGCACACTCTACCGTTAAGATGAGCAGTACTGCAGATAAGTAAGAGATCACCTCATCCCTATTAGGATGGCTACTATTTAAAAACACAGAAAATAATCAGCATTAGCAAGGATGTGGAGATTGGGCTGGGCACAGTGGCTCAGCTTGTAATCCCGGCACTTTGGGAGGCCAAGGCGGGTGGATCACTTGAGGTCAGGAGTTCGAGACCAGACTGGCCAAAACATGGTGAAACCCTGTCTCTACTAAAAATACAAAAATTAGCTGGGAGTGGTGGTGCATACCTGTAATCCCAGCTACTGACTTGGGGGCTGAGGCAGGAGAATCACTTGAACCTGGGAGGTGGAGGCTGCAGTGAGCTGAGACAGTGCCACTGCACTCCAGCCTGGGTGACAGAGCAAGACTCCATCTCAAGAAAGAAAAAAGGGATGTGGAGATTGGAACCCTTGTGCACTCTTGGTGGGACTATAAAATGGTGTAACTGCTATGAAAAACAGTACACTGGTTTTTCAAAAAATTGAAAATAAAACTACCACATGATCCAGCAATCCTAGACTACTGGCATGTACCACTATACCTGGCTAATTTTTGTATTTTTTGTAGAGATAGGTGTTTCACTATATTGCCCAGGCTGGTCTCAAACTGCTGAGCTCAAATGATCCTCTGTCTTGACCTCCCAAAGTGCTGGGACTACAGGTATGAGGTACTGTGCCCAGACTAAGTAGTCAAATTCATAGAGGCAGAAAGAGGAATGGTGGAAACAAGGGGCTGAGGGAACAGGGAAAAGAGTGAGTGTCGAACAGGTGCAGAGTTTCAGCTGGGAGATGAGAAGTTCTGGAGATCTGCTGCACATGAGGTGAATATATTTAGTACTATTGAACCGCACACTTAAAAGGGTTAAGATGGAAAATTTTATGTTACATTTTTATTTTTACCACAATAACCAAAAAGATAAGCAAGGCTATCAGAGGGGGTGGGGCTAGGGCTTGAGACCAGGGGAGACTGGGTGCTGGGTGGCTCTATGAGGCAAGGACCTCTCTTCTTGTCAGAGCTCTCTGTGTGGAAGGGGTGGGCAGCCTCACAGGACCCTGGGGAAGGCTCATTTCATCAGGGCTGGAGCATACACTTGCCTGAGCTCCTGGTCTGGCCAAGACCTGGGACTCTCCTCAGGGAAGCCCCTCTGTGAGGACTAACGAAGGGGAAGAGATGGCTTCCCGTCTCAACAACAGTTTCTGGGCTTCCAGGCAGCCACAGGATGAGCCAGTCCCCTTCAAACACTGAAAGGAGGTGAATCCCTTCCCACCCTCAGACCCCGCAGAGAGAAGGCAGCCCCAGTGAGCCCCATCTGCCCTGGAGCAACTTGGGGACTGTTACTCTTGGACACAACTGGTAAATACCACTGAGGCTCCAGCTCCCTGCAGTCTGGCCTTGCTCTGCTTCCTCCCAAACCAGCCCCAGAAACGGGAACAATCCCCCTCTTCTCCCCTCTCTTGTGGGCTTTCAATGCTCCTCTCAGAGCACAGCCTAACATCTCATCTTCACCGGCTCCACCCTGCTTCCAAGCTGCCAGCTCCATGAAAATCTCACTTCTCCAGGTAGGTATATGTAACATTTATGTACTTGTAGAAAGAAAAAGCCCAGAAGAAAAGACCCTACGTGTATGCAAGCAACATCTTCTGAACTGTTTGTAAGGGACATTGCTTGCTTTTATTATTATTTAAGAAAAAATGAATAAAGCTCAGCTAAGTTCCTCTGGCCGCTACCATAAGCACCCCCAAATCTCTCCACCTTCCAGCACAATGCACACTCTTCTTATAGCTACAGGAGGACCTAGGAAGTACGGAATTTTAGGAGGGATGGGATGAGAGACAGACAGGCAAGGAGAGGGAGCAGTCACAGTAATAGCCCCTATGCAAATGTCTTCCTGACTCTTACAGAACATAGCCTGAAACCTCTCACTACCTGACTCCTGGCTAGCAAAGCCCTGAGTTGGCACTTGGGTCAGAGAAGCCAATTCCTACACACATACATTCTTCACCCACAAACACTCTCAGAGCTGCAGCTCAGGCAGAAAGCCTCTGACACATGGGCACACAAAGGACTCTGGGAAGAGATGCTGGAGGCTGGAGATGTGAAACCAGCCCAGGAATCAGGGTGGCCCTGAGGTTAGGAGTAGGCAGGATGTAGCAGGGGCAGTGAATGAATAGCTCTTCTTCTTCCTGTGGCCAAATTCAGCCCTGTCCTGTTCATCCAGGCTGGGAGTATCTGCCCCTGAAGCCACACCCGTCCGCCAAGCAGCCACCCACATTTTCCTGCTGTGATGGGGATGAAAAAGGGCACGTTCCAGGAAGTGCTGCCCTGCTTGGGGGTGAGGCGAGCAGCCAGATTTTAACTGCTTCTCAGAAATGCAGCCCTTCATCCCTTTCCTTCTCTAACCTTGGGGTGAGGGGCTCATAGATCTCTGGTATTCTGGAGGTGAGGGAAGAGACTGCCTCCCCCACAGTCAAAACGAATCCTGAGGCACAGCAATCACTTTAAGTCTCCATCATCCATGGTCCTGCCAGTACCTCTTCCTTGCCCTTCCAATGCGCCTCTTCCAATCCTCCTCCAAGGTCATACACTGACCCCCACCTGCCTTCAAGGGTTCTAGCCTGAGCCACCTTGGGAGGGCAGCAGCAGGGAAGAAAGTCAGAGCCAGGAAGAGACAGAATCAAGACATGAAGATGACTTAAATTCCCAGATACAAGCTCTAGGCTCCAGGCTGTGGGAGAATCTGGGCTCCTGTGGGAGAAGTTGTGCTGGAGCTGACCTTTTAGGGTAAAGACTGGGTTAGGTGAGATTACAGCAACCCCAGGCTTCACTTGTCTCAGGCTTTTCCCAGGGCATCCTCTAGGTGTCCAGGAAAGGGCTTTAGGGCAACACCTGGATATATGATGTGGTATAATGAAGGAGCAAAGCAAATGGGTCCCTGACAGCAGGCAGGGGACAGAGATGGGAAAAGCAGAAGGGGTGGTGGTCAAGTGAAGCAGAGATGAGTGTCCTGCCCAGGGATGCTGGGGTGACAGGAGCAGGCCAGGTACAGGAGGAATACTTCCTTTCCACTCTACTTCCCCAAGGCCACGCCTGCCATCCACTTTGATCGCTGTAGACTTCTGTATACACAGCAGGGTCTACTTTCTTTGAGATCCTTAGCAGGTGTGTAGTGAGTTAAAATAAGGACCTGAGAGTCACCTGTCTTAACCTAGCTGGGAATTAAAATGCAGATGGGCACACTACCTCCTGCCACCCTATCCCTCACTAAGGCTGACAGAAAAAGGGAGTGAGGTGTCCACAGCAGCCTAGGACCAAACGGGGGGGATGGGCACAAGGCCCCTACAGTGAGGAGGCTCCCATATCCCAAACCCCCTTCAGAAGCCAACACTAGGCCTCAGCCTGCTTCCCCTCCAGATGCCACAGGAACTTTCAGCCATGGTTGGGAACTTAGAGCAGATCACGGTCCATTTATCCGTTTCCTACTTTGGGCCAGTAGACCAGCCACTTATTTCACTGCAGATGCTGCTGTGCGCATTTAGGGGAGGGCAGATAAGAGGAGGCAGAAGTGAGCCTTCGAGGAAGAGACTGGATTTTCTTTTTCTTTTTTTAAATTAAAATTTAAATTTAGGGCTGGGTGCAGTGGCTCACGCCTGTAATCCCAGCACTTTGGGAGGCCAAGGTGGGTGAGTCACAAGGTCAGGAGTTCCAGACCAGCCTGGCTAATACGGTGAAACCCCGTCTCTACTAAAAATACAAAAATTAGCTGGGCATGGTGGTGTGTACCTGTAGTCCCAGCTACTTGGGAGGCTGAGGCAGGAGAATCACTTGAACCCAGAAGGCGGAGATTGCACTGAGCCAAGATGGTGCCACTGCACTCTATTGCCCAGGGGCAATAGAGCAAGACTCTGTCTCAAACAAAAACAAAAACAAAAATTTAATTTTTTGTATCATGTTGGTAAAAGAGAAACCAAGTTTTCTGCAGCAGCAAGGGAAGATGGGGCCCCTGGACAAAGGAGACACCAGAATCAGGGCCAACACGGACTCCTGCTCGGTTGCTCCAAGATGCCAGGGACGCGCCACACGGCCCCAAGCTCTCAGGCACTTTCAGACTCTGTCTCACTGAAGGGCATCTTAGCTTAGGATGGGGGAATAAAGGTGTGAATCCTTGGAAACTGTCCTGCTCTTCCTGAATCTGAGATTGTCAGTCCCCCTTTCGCTCCTGTGGATGTGGAATAAGAATCTCCCTGTGGTCCCATGCCTTGGTCCCTCTGCAATGACCCACTCCTGCCATCTCCCTATAGCCATCTGTAGGGCCTGCTCCAGCCCAGCTGTGGCAGCAAGGCTGGGGGAGGGAAGACAAGGACAAACCTGCCATTGTCATCCACACCAAGTGGACCCTAGCTCTGGGGTGAGCCTAGGTGCCACACTGAGGGCAGCTCCAAAGGTTCCCTACCAAGGCCTCGAAATGTCTCCAGCTCATGGGGCTGGAGTGGGGGTGGCACAACATGTCAGAAGCTTTGGAATCTGAGTGCGTGGGATGGATAGGGATGTGTTATGTGTGTGTGGAGGTCCCTCCCTGTCCCCGCTAAGAACTTTTGTTCTTGCTCACTTCAGAAGATAACTCTAATTCATCCAGATTCCTGTTCACCCTATCCTTCAGGGAAAGACAAAGAGAATAGGCTCCTCCTAGAGTCTTTTTTTTTTTTTTTTTGGTGGGGGGACAGGGTTTGGCACTGTCGCTGAGGCTGGAGTGCAGTGGTGGCTCATTGCAACTTCAAGTTCCTGGGCTCAAGTGGTCATTCTTATCTCAGCCTCGCAAAGTGCTGGAATTACAAGAGAATGCCACCATGCCTGGCTATTTTTTTTTTTTTTTTGGTAGAGATAAGGTCTTACTTTGTTGCCCAGGCTGGTCTTGAACTCATGGCTTCAAGTGATCCTTCTGTCTCAGTCTCCAAAAGTGCTGATATTACAGGCATAAGCCACCATGCCTAGCCAGAGGTTTTTTTTTTTTTTTTTTGAGATGGAGTCTCACTCTGTCACCCAGGTTGGAGTGCAGTGGTGCGATCTTGGCATGCTGTAGCCTCTGTCTCTCGGGCTCAAATGATTCTCCTGCCTCAGCTTCCAAGTAGCTGGGACTACAGGTGCCCGCCACCACGCCCAGCTATTTAAAAAAAATTTTTAGTAGAGACAGGGTTCCGCTATGTTGGCCAGGCTGGTCTTGAACTCCTGACCTCAAGTGATCCACTCGCCTCAGCCTCCCAAAGTGCTGGGATTACAGGCATGAGCCACCACGCCTGGCCCCCTCTTAGAGTTTTTAACCAACTGGCGAACCATGGTCGTGTGAAGGCCACAGGGTTAGTGGTGTGGGCTCTGGAGTCAGATGACCAGGGACAAGTTACCTAATCCCTCTAAGCTACAGGTTCCCTGCCTAGACAATGGAGATGATTATGGATACTACCTCATGGGCCAACAGAAGAGCCCCCAGAATGCTTCCCCACTACCATTATTGTTACTAGAAAAAAAGACAACCCTCTTCAGTTCACCTCTTGACCCTGGCTCTGCACCCTTTGTAGGTATCAAGCCAAACACAAAAACTCCAAGAATGAGAAACCAGGCCACAGGAAAGGAAGAGAAGAGGTGGAGAAAAATGTTAACCCGGTCTCTTTCTCCTCCTCCTCCTGTCCCAGTCACTGCCCTAGGAGGAGCAGCCACTAGGAGGAGGAACCCAAAGCTCCAGCCTGGCTTCCCAACCTCCATGTAGGAACAATCTTCAAGACAACAGGTTTGGGGAACGGGGAGGCAGTGCAAGACACTTTGGCATGACTTAACACCATGCTCATGAGCAACCAAAGGTGCAGGGTTCCCCTGAAGGGCTCAAGTCAAAGTGCTCCACGTGTGCACACTATCAAGAACCAACCACCTTCGGTCTCCCAGGACACAGGCATGGTGAGACCTACCAGCAGGACCCTACATCACTATGGTCTGTAGGGTTGGCTTGGCACAGGAAAGGTGATGCTAAGCTTCGTGTCCTTCTGGGAGATATCATAGGCAGGGAACACTGGGGGGTCCCAAAAAGCAAAGGCCAGATCTCTTCCTGCCTTTGTGTTAATATTTCTCTGAGTACCTAGGACAGAGGACAGCACTCAGAAGGAATTTGACACACACTGCTGATTTACTTAGGTAAACCTGGCACCTTCAAAAAGCTTGGTGTGCCGCACTGTGCCTCAAAAACTTTTGTCTAGAATCAAAACTTTATCTCTCGGACTCACAATAAACTAACATAGCATGTGTCTGGCTCTTAGCTTCCAGGTCCTGCCGACTCTCATCCTTCCTTTTATCCAATGTCCTTATAAAGAGCCCTTTTTGCCCAGGGCAGGTTCAGAATGACAGGTAAGGAGCAAAGAGGAGACACAGTTCTGCCCAGGCCTAGTTTCATTTTGTCCCCATTTACAGCAGATAATGAGTCTGGTTACACCAAATCTCCAATTCGTGCATCAGACAGCAAGTGTCCACTCCCATCCCCCAAGGGGATTAGGCCAAGGTTGCAGGAAGATTAGCAACACAAATGCCTTTAAGGACTTTCCCACTTAATTTGAGACCCTCTTGGCAGCTGAACAAATTCCTGCCCAGTAGGGGGATGGAGGAGAGGCTAGAAACTGAGCTTTCTACTGTGGGTATCCTTGAAACCCCAAATGCAGGGGGGAAAAGGCATGAAGAGGAGACCCTTGTGAATGTCTCCTACTGAGCTAGGCTCCGCAAGAATGCTTGGGAGAGATGGCAAGCAACCACCCTGTTTCATCTCTCCTTTCCCAAGCCTGAGCTCTGGAGCCAATTCTGTTTCTATTTAGCAGTACTGCCCTGACCACCTCCGCGGGGCTACTCCGCTTCCTTGAGGCTTCTTTAGAAAGGAACTAGACCAAGAAGAAACCGAGGACATGATCCAAAGGGAAACAGTATTCTAGGAAGCAGCAGCCACTTCTGACAGGGAGGTAGAGAGGAAGTTCCAAGTTTCCCAGTGGGCAAAGGTGGCCCTGGGCTCCCAGTTAAGAGCTGCCCTCCTCAGGTCCTACCTGCACAATGTCCAACACCATGCCGGCAGCCACGGTCCCAAAGCCTGCCAGGAGGAACGGAAACAGCACTTGCAGCCCGATGGAAAAGGAGGTCTCCTTGAGCGGGGAGGGTGGCGCAGGGCCATGGTCTGTGCTGACGTCATCACTTTCGTTGCTCTGACTCCCGTTCTCCAGCAGGGCGTCCTCCTCCCGAACCCCCTTGGCGTTGGCCCGAGACTCAATTACCACTTCTACCCCAGACCCATCAGGCCCCAGGAACTCTGAGGTCCCGGCCAAGGGCTCTCTCCCGGGGCCATCTGAAGAGCAGGGAGAGGCAGTAGGGCCAGTCCCGTTCAGTTGGTGGACGTCCTTTGGCTCTGGCTTAGAGGACATGACAGGCAGGGAGGAGGGGAAGGGAGAACTTTTCTCTCTTCTTTTTTCTTTCTCTCTCCCTCTCTAACTTGGGAAAGAACTTAGTCTTGGGGTAAACCCAGGCTTGGGCGCCGCGGGACCTCTTCCCACGGCTCTCCACTCCTACCAGGCACTGCAAAAACTGATCCACCAACAGGCAGCCCCATTAAGCACTAAAGCCGCAAGCTGGGGAGAAACAAGAAACTCCTCACCAGACTCAGCAACCAGCCACTAGGGGTGCAGATGCCTGACTCCAACCCACCAGCTCTGTGCTTGAGGGAAATGTGTGTGTCCTCTTATCTTCTTTGGTTCTCAGCGGCAGGCTCCTCAGAGCAGGGGGCATCCAGTGTAGAAGAGCCCAACCAAAGTCTGGGGTGCCCTCTGAAGTGGCCCTCTTTCACAAAAAGCAGCTTGAGTTCAAATCTTTTGGAACACAGTGCCAGCCTGGGGCTGTGGCTGCTTCCCGCTCCTTAGGCTGGGCTCGGTCAGCTTCCCACAGTTCCTTAGGCTCTGCTGGTCCCAGCGCAGTGTCTGCTGTCTTTCCTCTCTCTTCCAGAAACTTCCTCCCTTCCTGGGAAGAGCTAATACCTCTTCAAATCCCTGGTTCTTAAAGTCACAAGAATCAGTGTGGAACACCTATGTGGGAAGGAGAAAGAAGAAAAGAAGGTTATGCTAAAGCAAAGGTTGGCCTGTACTGGGAGAACATCTCCCCAAAGGCAGTTGGGAGTTCGTCATATAGTTATAGTTTGCTATTTGCCTCCCTTTTTCTGCATAAATTACTCAGTCCTGCACTGCTCCATCTGGAGGCTCAGCGGAAGCTATCCCCGCCATCCTGCCCACCAGCAACCCTCCTGGGTGATCACCACCTTGGTCACCAGCATTGAGATATGACCAGCCTGGGATTGGAAAGATGCTGTGCAGGAGCCCTTGGCGTTGTTTCCTCAGCAACAGGGGGTGAGTAGGTAAGTCCTCAGCGAGCCTCTTCTTCAATGCCCATTAAAAACCCTGGATTATTTTAAGTGGGGTTCTGTTACAAATTCAGCCACAAACTCCTTGCCACACAGCCACCCCTGTATAAAGTGACTGCTTACCATCACCACACAGCAACAGAAAGCCACACAGGGCAAAGAAACAGGGAGAAATTGATTGCTGAGTGAAGTCCCCCAGACCCCCAAACGTTCCAGCTTCTGAGGAAACAAAACGAAGCTAGGAGGACTCTCTGGGCAGTAGGGCAAGCCTGCCCGACCAAGGCCAAGAGCCAGAGGCCTACCCACTCCTGCCCTTGAGAGTCAACAGTGTTACAAAGAGCTCAGACAGCTGACTGGGATCCAGGCCTCTGTCTCTCCCCCTCTCCTCCTGCTCTTGGCCCTGTGAGCTTGTCAGATAGGACAAGGGACTTATCTCAGTTAGAAGGGACAGAGCATAAAACGATTGCTTATTACCCACGCATTTCAGTTAATTAGGCTCCTCCTGTTCCCCAGGGTTACTGAGAGTTAAATATAGTGGAATTCTTAGAAACAAAAACAGAAAAACAAAAGTAGCAATAAAAAAAAAAACCCCAAAACAAAAACCAAAGCACCATAAGCCAATATGCAGCTGCTCCAAATGCATCTCTTTAGCTGTAATGGCTCCACTTCTCTTTGCCTAAAGGAATCCCGAAGATTCCTTATTCCTCATGGACTTCCATCTTTTTCCATTTCACCAGAAGAGCTCTTATCAGCAAAAAACAAATTTAAAGAGAGTTCCACCAGGTAAGAGGAACAGGTCCTTAAGTATTCCAAACACACACAATTAGTCAACTTCAGTTAGGAAAGGCAGCATCAAAGCCCAGGAACTGGCGCAGGAGAATTGGTTTCCTCTATCAATTCAGTCACCCACCAGGACTCCCTTTTCCAACCTCCTTAAGCACAGTACTGCGGTTCTTTCAAAGCCCCTCCCCAGAGATCCAGAAGGAAACCTCTGAGTCCATTGCCCCTATCCCAGAAAAGTTTCCGAGTCCGCTAAAAGCTGACACCCCCGCCTCCCTCCTGTGTTCCTGGCAGGCCACTGAACCTGAAAGGGGGCTCGCAGGCAGGAGGGGAAGTCAGTCCTCCCTCACCACTCCCCCAGTAAAGACACTTCAGATGGGCCTAAGGCACTGGGACGAAAGAAGCAAAAGTGAACCAGGACGCCCTATCCCCTCCTCCCAGGCGGGGACAAAAAAGACCCATTTTAATATCCCAAACCCCGAGGAGGGAGAGAAAGTAACTGGGTGGCCTCCTCCGTCTCTCCACCACTCAGATTCAGCAAATGCGCAGCGCGCCAGGTCTCCCGCCCTCCACCACCCCCTCCGGGCCCCAGGACCCCACAGGACTGACCTGCCCCTCGCTTGGGAGGAAGGGGGGCGCCTGGCGACTAGCAGCGGGGCCCGTGCTCTCGGGGGGTGCAGGGTACCCCCTCTTCTCATCACTCCTCCTCGGCAGTCCTCCTTGGCCCCCGGCGTGCCCCCCCCACACCCCCAGCCAAGGCGAGCGTCCAGCCGCGACACCCGGCTGGCTACATTTCCCTTCTGCTTTACAACGAGGCCGCCGCTCCGCTTCCACGCGGGGGAGGTGGCCGGGGAGGGCAGGATATACCGCTTCGGGCCCGGCGGGGGGGCACCCGGACGGGGAACCGGGGGGCGGCCGAGCTCACTCGCCCCCAATCACTTCTTGCCCGCGGACTTGGGCCCAACTGGTTGGCTGCCGGTGGCAAACGTGATCTGGGGCAGACTGGGTGGCACCCCCCCCCCATCAAAAATAGATTCTCGGATGGACAACAGCAGCAGCCAATGAAGGACTAGGGAGGGGGCGGGCTCAACCTCGGCCCGGCCCCTTTCCTTCGCTTCTCGCCCAGGAGGCGGGGCGCCGGGGAAACGCAGTGTGAGGACTGACGGGAACCGGGAGCTGGCTCTACGCGCCTGGAGCGCGCGGGTCCCAGCGCTCATCGACCGGGGTACGAGGTGCCCTCTGCCACGGGCTTACTGCGTGATGCTGCCCCCCGGAGGCCCGCTGCGCCGCGCCGGAGCCCCTGTAGCCTTTGAGAGGCGTGTGCGCCAAGTGCACCTCCTCTTCTGCCTCTGGATGTTTCCTTGGAGCCTCTGGCCTTCGGAAAGACCGGCAAACGCCCCCGTGGAGCCAGCCTGCCTGACAGCTCTGACTCCCAGGCTCAAGCAGCCATCCCGTGCTCGCTCCCTCCTCGCTCTGGGTACCCGGACAGAACAGTCCCTACCTTGCTCTTGGACACAGCTCTTCTCTTGCTGGCTCGTCACCTTCAGCTCCCTACAGATTCTGCGTTCCTTTAACAAATGGCTCATCCCTGACGAATCCGGCCTTAAAAAAGTCCCAACCTTGAAAGGGGTGGGGGTGGGCGGGAGAGAAAGGAGGTCACACTCACGGCTGGGGTCGCACACGCCTCGCCTGAGGTCGGGGCGGAGGGGAGCCTCACTTCCTTTGAACCACTGAGCTTGGTGGCAGCTTGGGGAGAGATGTCTCCATCTCGGGCTAAACGAAATTGAACTTTCCCTGACGCACCTTTTGGGATCAAAGAGGGGTGTTCCCATGCTCGCCTTTCGCCACTTCCTCCCTGGGGTATCTCCACCTCTCCAACACAAGCTCAATGCCAGTTCTCTTTGGGATGTTTTTGTGCAGGGGGTGTGACCTCACCCATAAAGGAACTCCCACCCCCAAGTTTTCCCCTTGTCAGTGGAACCTGTGACCAACGGTTCCTTCCTGTCCTTTTCCTCCCGGAAAGTGGCTCAAGTGGCATTCGAACATCGCTCTAGACCCCTGAATAGGGTTTGGAGCAGAGATGTGCCTGGGGAGAGGAGAACGCAGTGCTGTGTATGAAGCTTTGGGCGCATGCACACAAGAGCACAAACAAGCTGAGCAGGTCATTCCTTTTGATAAGGATGGCAAATACACATACCCAACCCTGTTCTTCTCACCCACCCCAAACCAGTACCCCCCAGGATAATTCTAGCTCAGTTCTGGGGGATTTGCATCAAGGGCCTGCAGACTCACAGGACTTAGTAGAGCAAAATGTCGGGGTCTCAGACCCCAGTTTTGGCTTCAAATACTGGATTTCTCTGTTCTGAGAAGTAGCTGCTAGATTGGGAAACCCTGGGCCTTGTCCAGAAAGGTGAGGTCTGTGAATACAGGGTGTGGGGTTGGATGGGGAATTAAGGCTGATGTATCTGGAGAAACTTTGGTTGGGCTGGAGTCAACTTCTGCCCAGTTCTATTCAACAGTTCCTGCCCCTCCAACACCCCATTTAATCTTGCCGAAGCTTAGCTACCAGCTTAGCTACCTTAGGGACCTTGATTTCCTTTCTACCTTCCATGTTTTTACTTACTTGAAAACAGTTCCCCTCTCCTGTGTCTATTTTTTAATTGAAATATACCAGACATTCAGGAAAGGAATACAAAACCTAAGTGTACATGTCAACAAATGACGACACAGCAAACATCCCCATAAGACCACCATCCAGATCTAGAATAAGATCATTTTTGGCACCCCCGATTCCCTCCTATCCGCTCCTGGTGACTACACCACACTCCTTCTCAAAAGTAACATTTATGTAACACTACAGGTTAGTTTTGCTTACTTTTGAACTTTATATAAATGGAACCATTCAGTCGGTATTATTTTGTGTCTGGCTTCTCTCACTCAATACTATTTGAAACTCATCCATAACATTGTGGTAGCAGGAGCTCATTTGTTTTCATTGCCGTACGCTGTGCCATTAAATAAATATACCACAATTTATGTTATTCTGTTGATGGACATTTGGGTTGTTCCTACTTTGGGGATGAATAAAAAGCTGCGATAACACTTTTGTTCATGTCCTTTGGTACACTTATGCTCATATTTATATTAGATATACCTAGGAATAGAATTACTGGGTCATAGGATAGGCATATTTTTAGCTTTAGCCAGTGCGACTAAACAATTTTTCGAAGTGCTCATATTAATTTACATTCCTGCCAGCAGCATCTTACAAGTTCCAGTTGCTCTATAGTCTCATTAACACTTAATATTGTCACTCTACAAAGATGAACAATTTTAGCCATTCTGGTGGGTGTATAATGGTATTATAGTTTCAATTTGTTTTGTTCTGATAGCCAATGAGGTTGACCACCTTTTCACACATTTCCTTGACTTTTGGATGTTTGTTCAAGTATTATGTCCATTTTCTGTTAGGCCTTCTGTCTTATTACTTTTGTTTTTTATTTTTACAAATTTAATTTTATTTTTTTATTTTTACTGGAGACAGGGTTTCACCATGTTGGCCAGGCTGGTCACTAACTCCTGACCTCAAGTGATCTGCTTGCCTCGGCCTCATGAAGTGCTGGGATTACAGGTGTGAGCCCCTGAGCCCAGCCCTGTCATATTACTTTGTAGGATTTCTTTATAAATATCAAATATGAGTCCTTTGTTGCTTATAGGTATTACAAATATTTCTATGAGTAAATAAGTACAAAAGCCCTTGGTTTTGGTGTCTTCTGAAGCATCAGGGCCACTGAAACAAGAATATAATCTCTAAATCTATTTTGATCACTAGTGTAAACCCAGCTCCTGGCACCTAGTAGGTACTCAATAAATACGTTGAATAAATGATGGATGAGGTGGATAAGACTAATGTAGGTAGTTAGTTCTATGTTGCGCTGATCCCTACAGTCAAACACAAAGAGGACCTGGGGGAAGCAGATTTCCTTTGGCCTAGCCAGCTGTGACCTTGGGAAGAGGAAGACATCCTGGCCCTTCTCTACTAAAAGAGCAGAAATAGCTACAGTCTTGAAATGAGGAGCACAGATGTGGGCAACATAGGTTGCAGATGAAAAGACAGGAACTAGCAGCAAGTAGCAGGCCAGCCAGATACTTTAGAAGGAGACACTCAGTTGGGGGTGTCAAAAAGGTAGTGAGGGTCTCTGAACATCACTGTGGACCTCTGTATGACAAGAACCTCTAAAGGTCACGTGGACCTTCTCTTGCCTCATGTCCAGTCTTAGAGCTTGTTGGCCAAGAGAGCTCTTCCACACCTAGAAACACATTTCTTTTTCCAAAGGGGGTCCCCTGAAACTTTGGTTGCAGGGTCTCATTCCTATCCCACATTGGGCAACTCTTTTTTTTTTTTTTTTTTTAAATCAGCTTCAACTTCCTCGTGGCCTGTAATGTTCATCCTGAATATGGAAAACCACCGAGTCAGCCTCTTCTCCATGTACTGTTTTTATGGGCCGGTTGCATTCTACAGCATTTTTCTTTTGCTGTCTTTCTCTCCAGCGTCCTTGACCAGATGTGGTCAAGAGTCTCTCACTGATTCCTATTACTTTAGGAGAAAGAATTTTCCCCTTGCAGCACCCTAACAAACTCACAGTGTCCCCTCCTCATGTCCTTCAGAACATAATGTGGCATTTACCCAGAAGATGGTAGCACCCCAAAATTTTATGTAAACTGAGCTTGGGCAGCCATCTAGTTGGAGAGAGGCTGGGTGACTTGTCATGAAATTGCATTTGTATAGCAGGCATAGTGTTTTCACTTAGAATATGAGTATATGTTGGGTGTGGAGTGGGAAAGAGGGTTGTGGCAAAAGGAATTGTTGATTACTGGCAGGGACCTGTGGCCTCTGTGGGAAGATCCTCTGTGGGGCAGCCTTCTTCAGTCTTGCTTGGCATTTGTCCTAATATATGGTTAATTTAGCCTCTATCCTGAGGTCCTCTTAGCCCCGTGGCCTTCCTTCTGGGCCAAGTACTGTCTACCAATGGCCTCTCCGTAGACTACCTAAGTACTCATCTTGAGACATCATAAAATTCCAGCGCCCCATAGATCCTGGACCCCCTAACCAGCATGGCATAGTCATAACACTAGCCTGACATGGCTGGAAACTTTTCTGTCTTTTGTTCTGTGGGGGAAGGTGCCCCCTCCCATTTTTCCCCCGTACTGTGACCCCTCCACTGCTCCCTCTCTCCCAGAGGTCAACTTCTTTCCTGCTGCCCAGAGCTGAGGTGACATCCCCTTCCGGCTTCATTCAGTTTTAGGATATAGTGATGGGGGTGGGATAAGGAAGTGTGGCCATCTGTGCTCAGCACTGTCATCATTCCCTTTGCTACTCTATAACTGAGCTCCCCTTCCCCAAAGCCCCCTGGATACCCACCCTGCTATTCCCTTAGGCAGATGGTTCCAGGTATTTTGGAGCTGCAGCTCTGAGATTACTGAGTATAGCTGGGAAGACTTGACAGCAAACAAAATGGTCTGGTGCACTATAACTGGATATAGAAAAGTAATCTTTGACAGGCAGTGCTGCAGAGTGGAAGACGCCACAGCTTTGTAATCACATGGATTTGAATCTATGAAAGGCTCAGCCATTTATTAGGTATGTGACCTTGGGCTATGTCTACCAAAAGGAGACATAATTCCCTTTCTGCAACATATGTTTCATGGTGAGGCATTCTATGCAAACCTACCCCTAAAGACTGAGAAAGCTGAGAGGCCAAAGAAAGATGCAGACAAATCTAGTTTCTTAGAAAGAAGCATTTAATAGGGACTTCCAAACAGAAGCGCTGTCAATATCTTGGGCAGTGGTGAGACCAGGGCTTATATACATTATAAGGAAGGCATACTTATACCTTATAGGGAAGGAAAGTGTAGGACAATTGTGAATCTCCCTAAGTGCAGGATTTATGGTCAATTGTTTTTACTCAAGAGCAGGATTTATGATAAGTACATGCTCTTACTCTTACCAAGGAATGGAAATCGTAGAGGCATT